TATTTTGAAGTAAGTGTGCAATAGCTAATTTTAGAAAATTCTAAGTGTTGGATTTTTTTCAAACTGTTTTGTGGAGAGAATTGAAATCTAACAATTAAAATTAGGTTCTACCATTATAACAACTTAGAGAAGTTCTTATTGGTGATTAATCCACACTAAGTGTTTGACAAATTTGTTAAGGAAACTTTGTCATCTTGTATCATTGGAAATAGCTTAACAAGGTGTTATAAAGTTCAGACGTGCTTTATAGAATCACATTGATTCTAATTCTCATCTTGGCACCGTACCACTACAAAATACGCATTCGGTAACATAATATTACTATAGTTATACCTTCCATCGTTGTAATATCGCAAACTGTAAGCACCTAATGCTTATTTATTTTTTTGAAAGTTATTTAATCACAGTTGATATAAACAACCGTGGTGATAAAGTGAGTGGTACAAGGTTCAAATCCTGGAAACTAGATTTTTTTTCATTTTTCCTATTACAAAAAGCGTGTGCCACTTAATTTCCTAAATAAATAAATAATTATTTAATCACGATTTTAATATTCAATCATTGTAATATGATCGGTACAACCTTTGCTCTTCCCAAAATAGAGAAACAAATATAATGATGATTGAAATTTTTCTTCATTTCTCAAGACGGTCACAAGTCATTTAAGAATATCAACCATTAGAAGTAATCATTGCAAGAATTAAATTATCAGATGTTTCATTTTCAACTTCTTCTATAAATGCACAGTTTCATATAATGAATTTCCACTTCTTCAAACTATTCTTCTTAACTTCCTATAGCAACATGAGTTCTCCATCTGAGAATACTAACACAAATATGTCAACTCAAGTCACCACAATCCAACAACATCAGCAGTCAACTGAAGAGATCCAATCATCTGGATCGACTGCTGTCAAGGATACACTAAGGGTGAGGAAGGCCAGGAAGAAGAAGAAGAAGAAGAAGAAGAAAAATGTGTCGAGGAAGATTTTTTACTATGATTCTGATGAGGTTAGTGAGGAGCGAGTCATAGATTACAAAGATTTCTATAGTGCTAGGGGATATTGTTCTGATCTTGACAAAATTATGTAATGAAAAAATTATGTTTTATATACTCTACCCTTTTGGGCCTCTTAATGAACTTATTTATTAGTATTATTTTATATACTCTTACCTTTATATACTTTTTCCTCTTTACAAAAAAAAAAATAGTACAAGCCAACAAAAATAACAACAACAATAACAACAGTAATGAAGAATAATAATAACAACAATTAATAACACTCACACCATTGCGTTTATAAAAAAATGAAAAATTGAAAGTTATTTAACCATGGCTTTACAATACAACCGTTGTAAAATTTGAAAATTGCATCATGGTTTTTCTTTCTAACTGTGATGAAAAGTGATATTTTTAAGGATATAAGCGAAAGTATCTATCGTTTAGTATATAACAACTGTTTCTCTCAAAATATAACCCTAACATATTTCACTCTTCTCTCTCATAACATAACTCTAACATTCATGTCACTCTTTAAACATACTTCAACCTTCAGATTCGTCTTCACCAATCGCTAACTTGAGGTTTGTTTATTAAACTTATGCTTCGATTTTGTTTATGTTTCTTGTTAAAAATAGGTTCTCAGTTTTTCATTTGGAGGGTGTCCTCATTTTTTTAGATTCGTCTTCACCACCTTAACAAAGCGTCTACTTTGGCTATGATACATATGATTTATGTAGCTATGAAGAAAAATACAAGAAGTATGAAACTATTGTGTAAACTTCATTCACCTTGTACTTCTTCTTCATAGCTTTATAAACTAGATGAACTTCGTAACTTGTCACTCCACGATTAGTATAAAAAAGGTGTGTTATTGAAACATTACATAATATCTTGTGTTGTTATATGTTGTTGTTATTGATTAATGTTCTCAGAACTTCATAATTTGTTGTTGTTTTGTTTATTATATCTTGCGTTCTTGAACCTTATTTTTTTATTTTGTTGTATGTTGTTGTGTTGGCGATAAATGTTGTTGTATATTGTTGTTGTTGATTAACGTTTTTAGAACAAGAACAAAACATTGCTAAGTCACAAGAAAGAAGCTTTTTGTGACTTAGCAATGTTTTGTTCTTGTTCCTAAAACATTGATAAATGTTTTGTTCTTGTTGATAAATGTTGTTGTATGTTGTTGTTGTTGATAAATGTTTTCAGAACAAGAACAAAACATTGCTAAATCACAAGAAATAAGCTTCTTGTGACTTAGCAATGTTTTGTTCTTTAAATTCTTATATGCTATGTAGATGAAGTTGAGTTTATTATATGCTATGTAGATTGTTTTTTTCACTAACAATTATTTGTTTTATAATAAACCTGGGTACTTTCACTAATGGTTATTTATTTTATAATAAATCTGCGTACTTTCAACAACGGTTATTTATTACAACTGTGATTAAATCTTATTTTCATAAATGTATATACCACAATAGTTGATACTAGTAACCTTGTGGTAGGTAGCATGCGTCATGCCTTACTATCACAGTCTCGCAATTGTGGTGGAAAGCATCAGAGAAGCAATCACCCATTACCTCACAACGGATGGTCAGGTGTTGTGATATCCCTTTTCCAACCGTTGTCGTATGACTTTTATGTAGTAGACTTATCATATTACGATTTAGACGTATATCTGATCCTTTCGATAGCAGATTCGGATATACGAGTTTTCGATCCATAATCGCTTTCGAAAACCATTAAAAATATTTTTAAATTCGTGATCTATTCACCCCCTCTAGATCAGTTCCCCTCATCTAACAAATATAAATACCGTCCTCGGGCAGGAAGTGGTTTTAACGCCGCAATTTTGAAAACCTGCCCGAAAATTTCAAAGGCACATAAAATTGGACATAACATATACTAGCATGAGCAAACTCGACGAATGGAGTGACTAGAAAGTACCAAACTTTAAAAAATTTCACACTATCATAATAGACCTCGAACATCTTCTAACCTTACCTAAGAGAAAGTAAGCCTTGATGCGGGTCAAATCGGCCGACTGACGTTGATGTTGAAGAGGTAGAAAAGGATTGCCAAGCTCAGTGTGCTTTTTTTTATGCACACACTAGTATTGGAAGACTTTGATGCAATTGCAAGGGGCGACACCCAACTGATTTAGAATGCCCACCTCAAAGTCATTAAATGGATGGCGATGGCCTTTTAAGAAAAACATGCATATCTGAAGAAGGATAACACACCCCTCAAACTTTCTGCATATCCTCTTATCTCTTTTAGGGGGAAGCACACCCCAATCTGAAGGGGAATCCACCTCGATATAAGCATAATCCATACCAATATCACCTATAAAGGGGATATTGTGTCCAATGTTTCCTTATCTACCCACGCCACCAAGCAATCCTCCTTCACATTATAGGTTTCCTGACGAGTATAACAACCCATTAATGGGATACTACCAACACACAAAAAAGAATGACTGTAAGAATAAGCACGAGATTGAAATTCTAACCACCACCTTACTTTACTACCTGTGGATTGTAACCAAAAGTACGACGATACACTCTGATATAAGTTTGTGCTTTGCGTTTCCGCTTAAAACCATCCACATCAGTTGGGTTTTTAGAAGATAAAGCAGGAAAAGCCTAACATTTAGCAGCCTCTCTGAGATCAAGACTACCAATCTCCTTCATTCTCTAATAGCAATTGTTTCCTTTAATTCTTCCATAACCTTCTTCACAATAACCTCTAGCAAAGGGAAAACAAATAAAAAAATGAGAGGGACTTTAGTCGTTACCTTGAAAGAAATGATCTTGATAGATTACGTGAATAAAGCCACCAGAAAACCAACGATAAGACGTTGAAACAATGATCGTCAAGAAATGTTGGGACATACTAGAATACAGTTGCAAAAAAGAAAAGAAAGAATTCCAAGACCTCAAGAGTAATAAAAAAGGGAAAATTCACCCTTCAGCCCCTTATATATATTCCTATTACAGTTGTCTGACGATCAACATTGAATAACACCAAAAAGGACAACCTTGCCACCAACAGTCAGGATCTCACTTTGATCTACTCAAACAATCAAATATCCTGAAAAAAAAGAGTATCATGTATGTCTAACCTAAAACCACGTGTCAAGTTTGTCCTACAAAGTGTGGCTGATAAATTAATGTGCATGTTCCCAATGTGACCGACTACCCCTCGAAGCTTTTTCATTCCTTTTTATAGCAGACAAACTAGAATACCTAGTGGACGGTCAAAGGTAACCCAAACCACATTACACTTGCTTTAACAAGTAGTAAGAAGGATCTGGGAGGGGGGACTGTTCTTGATCGCTCGCAAGAGAAATGTCTAACCACAAGGCCAAATACAGAAGATGCAAGCAAGAAGACAAGATACCTCACCTAAGCACGAAACAAACTGATCCTGACATCCAACCTATCTCATTTTGCTAGATCCAACTGAACAATGATCTACACAATGCGCCGAGTCAAATGAAAGTGGTTTAACCATTCAACCTAAATAAGCTCCACACACTCTAGTTTCATATATATATTTCCACTTTTACTCTGAGTTGCGTCTTGAATAGTTCATTGAATTTGACATTGGAATACTAACATTGTCCACTCTACTCCGCTGTATCAAAAACACTCACCATCGTACCAAAAAATCTCATTACAATCTCGTTTTCTATTTCTAGTTTCGTTTGGTTTATTGCAATACAATTTTTTTCACCTTGATTTTATTCTATTAAATTAATTTTTTTAAAATTTTTTGACAAATTAGTTGTTGTAATGTGATATTTTTCACTTCAAATTTTTTATTAAAAAAAAACTGTACAGAAACTCTAGTATTTTGCATATATAGAAATCCTTGTTTTATTAAATCACCACAAACCACAAGTAGTCCATAATAGCACTACAAGATAGAGTTGCCTAGAGAAACCTATAGGTCTCAAAAGGATTAGTATTATTCTTTCCTCTAACCACTCCTACATGGCTGAAGATAAAACTTCTTTGATGGGATAACCAACAGCAGCATTGATTGCACATACTCCATAAGGCCACTCCTTAATAACATTCCTTTTGATAAACAAGTAACCTTTCTCTCCCCAATCTTTTCCCCACGAGTTCTTCACAATCCAATAATCTTCACCATTCACAGAATTATAGCCCACTATTATACCCACAAGAGTTGCATTCCTTGAATTTTTTTTGCAGTTCTCACCTCCATATACTCCCTGTTTTATTCAAAAGAAAAGAAAAACCCATAACTACAATTCAACACACAAATAAAAAGTTAAGTATATATTAGTAATAAACAATTCTCACCCCAGCATAGAATTGAAGACCAGTTGCATCTAGGCTCACAATTACAGGTTGTTTACTAGTGCGACACAACAAAGCTTCTTCTGATCCATCCAAAACTAGAAGGTTGTCAATACTAACAGCCTTGTTTGCATTTTCCTACAAGAAAAAAGAAATTTGATGGTTCTTAGGACGGTCTTTGAAGACGTGCAAAGTGGTCTACAGCATATAGTCTAAAATTTATCACAATTAAATCATGGCTAAATGCAAATATTACCTTGCAGGTACCATTTTTAGCTGTATAAGGATAATTAGCTTCTGTGTCAATTCCACCATTGTTAATAACCCAACCAAATGCATTAAAGTAGTAACCACCAGCACAACCGTGGCTAGCTGGGTCACAGTCCACAAGTTCTTGTGCGGATAGGTTGATAAGATTTCCAGTCACTATTTTGTTTAATCCTTCAATGGTTCCAGCCACAGAGAAAGCCCAATGGCTCTCTAAGAAATACAATAACTTAAGTTATGATATAAAACTATAAAATTCATAAACATAGAAAAAATGAAAATTTGATAGTAAGATCTTACGACAGTTTCCTTGGTCCTTAACTTCAGTCACAGCTCCTTTTTCCCTCCAATCTAAAGAAGCTGGAAGGTTTTCACAGTCGTCGTCTTCGTCTTGAAGCTTTCTATCACCATAATTGGAGGGTGTTTCTTGTAAGTAGGTTTTACTGAACTCTTCAGGACTCATATCAGCAAACTTGTTGAGACTCAAACGATGTTGAGTTGGTGATTTTCTTTTAGCGTTCATTTCATTGATATGCTTCAGATTACTTTTAAATGTCTCAAATCTCTTTGCGTTTTCTTCTGAGTTTTCATACTCTTTCCCGTGTTCTTTCTTCCATAGTTGAAAGAGTTCAAGGACTTGTTCATCTGAAGATGAAAACTTGTCCAAGTTGCTATTTCTTGAAAGTGAGTAGTCAGTAGACAAGGCAAATGAGAGAGAGGTAATGGAAATGAAGATGAAGAAGAACAGAAAGAACTTTATGATATGAGATATCATCATTGCACAAAATGAGTTACCAATGTTTGATCTTTTGGGTTACCTCTCTTGTAGAATAGCTCTCACTCACATATATACACAATGAATTGTGGCAAGCGCAAATAATAAAAACAAAGAAAATAGTAACACTAAATGTTATATAAAAAATTAAAATAGTAACATTATCTCCATCTATATGTAATTATGTATTGTAATATTTTTGTTTTTTATTGTGGTCCTATGAATCATTACTAGTGGACAAACTACGTAATTATTTTCGTCGTGCATTGTGTCCAACATTGATATTTATACAAAATTTATTCACACGAGTTCCATGCATATACGAATACATTTCGGTGGTAAAGTATCTGGTTTGGTAAAATATCAGTTATATATATATATATATATATATATATATATATATATATATATATATATATATATATATATATATATATATATATATATATATATATATATATATATATATATATATATATATATATATATATATATATATATATATATATATATATAATTTATTTCAAATCATAAATTTTGAATTAAATATAATTTAATGGTCAATTAAGTAAAAGACTATGTTAATCATTAAATTAGATTCAAATCAAATGCTAAAATTTGAAGTTAAAAAAACTTATTCTTGAAATAAGTTGATTTCCACTTTTTTTTATATATATATATATATATATATATATATATATATATATATATATATATATATATATATATATATATATATATATATATATATATATATATATGGATCAACTAACTTCATAAGTAAGGTTTTATAACTTACTCCATAATCATAGTCTTTAAATTAGATTTAATCGAATGAATGATTATAAGTAAAAATTTAATTTAACCACTAAATTAGATTCAATTTAAAGGCTATGATGTGGAGTAAGTTAAAAAAACTTACTCTTAGAGTAAGTTGATCCCCAATATATAAGTGTGATTAATTAAGCTAAACAATGAATTAGTTTTATTTATGATTTAAAATGTGCACATTAAATATTTTATTTTACTTTTTCACAAGTAGATTGTATTATAAAAATTATTTATAAAATACGCATGTTAAACATGGATCATATTTATAGTAATCTATAAAGAGTCATTAACTTAAGGAATACATAAAAGTTAGGAAATTAACTCATAGGAGTTAAGGAATATAATAAGTTAAGTAAATAAACATCCACATCTATTTACTATTATTCATAGCAATACCCTTAGGATGTTCATTGATGATATGCCTTGTTAAAACCTTACTAGAAAAAAGTCAGTGGGAAAAAATTTTGGTGAAGGAAAAAAAGTACAAAAAGTAAATTCATTTCTCCCCCTCAGCTGAACGGTCATTTTTTCGACGTTGAAGATCAATCTTTTGTACTAGTTGATTAAAAGTTCTACTTGGGACTGACTTTGTGAAAAGGTCTGCAATATTATCACGTGAACTTATTTGTTGGATGTTTATATCACCACTCTCTTGAAGATCATGAGTGAAAAAGAACTTTGGAGAAATGTGTTTTGTTCGGTCTCCTTTAATGTAACCATCTTTCAATTTAGTGATGCATGCAGTATTATCTTCATATATTGTCGTTGTAGTTAATTTTTCAGAAGATAAACCACACGTATTTTGTATGTGCTGAAGTAGGCATCTCAACCAAATGCTTTCTTAACTTTCCTTATGTAATGCTAAAAGTTATGCATGATTAGATGATGTTGTTGTTATGGTTTGTTTCACTGATCTCCATGAAATAGTTGTACCCCCACATGTAAACAAATAACATGTTTGTGGTCTACCATTATAAGAATCTGACAAGTAATCTGCATATGCATAACCTGTTAACTCGAATCTGGATATTTTAGTATAAAACAAACTCATGTCTATTGTACCTCTAAGGTAACGAAGTATATGTTTGAATCTATTCCAATGTCTTAGTGTAGGTGAAGAACTGTAGCTTGCTAATAGATTGACATCAAATGATATATCAGGACGTGTATAATTAGCAAGGTACATTAGTTCTCCAATTGCACTAAGATATGGTAATTCAGGACCAAACAATTCTTCATCATTTTCTCGAGGTCTGAAAGGATCTTTATCCATATCTAATGATCTAACAACCATCGGAGTAGACAACCGGTGACATGTGTCTATATAGAAGCGTTTTAACTCCTTTTCTATATAGCCTTTATGATGTACAAATTTTTCTTTGTGCAAATGTTCAATTTGTAAACCTAGACATAATTTTGTATTTTCTAGGTACTTCAATTTAAACAACTCATAGTTCTTGGAAACTCTTCAGGGGTTTCAATAATATTTATGTCATCCACATAAACAACTTTTATTGCAAATTCTTTTTCGGATCTTTTTATAAATATACAAGGACAAATGAGAATATCCCACTTCAAACATAGGTATGAATATTAGGAGTAATATTTATACTGGATTGACCTGCTATGAGAATACTACATAGAATGTTATGCAAAGTGTCATAAGTTACTCTCATGGTGATAGTGGTGTATACCATCCTTCGACTTGAAACCACTATGGACCCTAGATGTAGAGTCGAATACTTTATTACTGATCTAACATTGTTCGTAACTGGATGACTATAAAGAAAGTTGATGGGTACTCCACAAAGCATGATGAGGGACATGAGTGATCTAGATGGAATTTGCCCATCCTGCATAACAAGATAAATGTCTAAGGGCCCAATATTGAACTGGGCAAAGATGACACGGTATATGCCTTATGTTCAATATAGACATAAAGGCAAACGGGTAATTGTACACACAAGTACTATCACAAAAGGTTTTGTCATATCACATGACATTTTTATGACTTAGATAGTAGTGATATGTTGCTAGATACCGCTCACTATTTATTATGTTAAATGCGTGATTTAATATAATTTTCAACGTTGCGAAAACCTATAGGGCCACACACATAAGGATAGATTGATAAGATGTAGAGTAAATAAGGAACACCGTAAGGTACAATGCACTTAAGTAAATGTAGAACACTGTAAGGTATAATGCACTTAACTAGAATATGGAATATATATGGTAAGGTACCACGCACTTAGGTGATATACGGTACACCATAAGATATGGTGTGCATACACTTAAGTGAGTTTTTTAGCTTGTAGCCCACATAAGTGGTTCTATAAATAGAACCCTTGTGCAGAAGCATACACTCTTAATGAAAATTCAGACTGTGAAATCCTAGCCATATTTTTCCTTCCCTCTCTCACTCAAAGCCTTCAATCGTAGCAGCTAGCATTGAGGCTGAAGAAATCTGTTCGTGTGGACTGAGTAGATGCGTTGTTGTTCATCATTCAACACTCCTGATCACTCCTTTGATTTAGCATCAAAGGTTTCATCGTCACAAAAGGTAACAGTTTCTATCACTGATCATGCTCATTTTTAAGGATCACTAAAGGAAATATTTTAATTTCCTCTGCGTTTTGGTTCACGATTTCCCTTAAGTGGTATTAGAGCCACTTACGAAACTATGCATTTGATAGTTGTTTACTTTTCTGTTCTTTCTGTTTTAATCTGATTAAAAACACATAATAAATTAAATTATAATTGAGTAATATAATTTTGACAAGAGGCTATGTACGATTTGGATGATCGATATTAACTATGATTCGGAATCCAACATTAGTATGGTGAAGCAACGATACATCGATCGTCCTTAAGTTACGCAAATATGATCGATCAAATTTTATATGTGATATAAGTAAATATTATGCAAAGATGGTATATTGGATATAGTGTTTCTATTTCGCCCATTTAACCACACAATGATTGTTATTCTTTTAAGCAATTAGTGTTCATTTTCTTCCGAATTCGACATTAGTATGGTAAAGCAATGGAAATTCGATCAATGATACTGAATTCTTGATCATGGTGTTTTGACGGTATGAAGTTGTTGCATTAGGATTCATGATGATACAAGGGTTGTGCTATTAAAGAGGTATGTGATTAGAGTTGTGATGGCACAAAAGTTGTGCTTTAATATTTATGGAAATTATCAAATGTTGATGCGAAAAATGACGTTGATTTCAAATGAATTATTCATTAAGATTTAATTTATTTGCCGAAATTTAATTTGATTTATTTAATTAACAAGATTTAAATTAAAATAATAATAATGTGTTTATTATTGTTCTCTTGTGGTGATCAGTTATGGCCTTAGTTTTCCTTTATTTTGTTTTGGGATTTTAAAATACAACATGCGTGTCGTGCCTCTCTTTTAATCTCTTGATGCAACTTATTTTCTCATTTCACTCCCTTATATGTAAAACGAGTATTCTTTGATGTAATGTAATGCTATGAAGAAAGAGAAGAATACAAGATCAAAAGAGGACAACCTTGGAGATCTTGCTTGGAAAAATGTAGGTCGTTATTAGGTTTAGCTTAGGTTCTCTCATTGGCTTGGGAGAACAATTGCACTATGGGTCATAATTGTTTCATTTTGTATGTATGTTGGTGCATGTGAATGTATGGTGATGCATGTGAACACTGCCATGACTTCTGAATTGCAAAAGAAACATGAAAACATGGCAGCGTTCGATATGATCGAACACCTGAAGATGCTCTATCAAGAGCAGGCAAGGCATGAGAGATTTGAAGTTTAAAAAGCCCTTTTTCAAGGCAAGCTAGTTGAGGGAGCCCCAATAGGTCCCCATGTACTCAATATTATTGGGTAAGTGGAGAACCTTGAAAGATTGAGTTTTCCCCTCAAAAAGGAGCTTGCGACTGATTTGATCCGGCAAATGTTTCCGGAGAGCTTTATTCAATTTATCCTTAATTTTAACATGATAAGCAAGTTAAGAACTGCTGAGCAGAATCTAAAGTCAAAGGGAAGTTCATTATGATGGTTAGTAATGGAAAGAAACATAACAAAAGGCTCACCAAGCAGGGTGGTAAATGGAAAGGCAAGGAAGTTTCCAAATCCAAACATACTACTCCTGCTTTAAAGCCTAGTGGAGGCA